GTTGCTAGGAAAAAAAAACAACCAGTGATGAAAGCTAACATTGGGTACACATAAACTTGTATTCAAATTCAAGCAGGATGAGTTTGAGGAAAAGTGAGGTACAAGCTCACCCTGGAAGGGCCTTGTGAGGTGCTGAGTGCACTAAGTCACCACTGCAGGACATACTGCAAGTGTGTAGACTGTGTTAGATATCAGACCACCCCCCCAAATCTCAAGATAAAAAGGAAAAAGAAAATAATTATTTTTTAATTCAAAAAGGAGACTTAAGGGTTTATCCATGCAAGTAGAACCAAAAGCAAAGAAATAAGATAGCGAACTCCTTCACCATTAGCAGTCCAACTCAACAGTATCTACTTAATTTTCACCATTTACTTCCACAATTAACTTAGTCCATTGCTGGCAGGGGCAGGGTTGAGCTGAAGTTTTGTTTTGATATCTTTGGAATGAAGTGTTTTGGCTACAGCATTTCAAAGTCTGGCTTTACAAGAACAGCTCAATCTTGAAACAAACCCGATTTAGCTCGGAGGAGCAGCAGCACCTGAAATGAGAGCAATCCCACGTTCAGAATGAGAGAATGTCACTCTGCTGCTCCCAAGAACTGAGCTGGCTCACAGTCAGGGTGCCTCAGACTTTCCAGCCCAGCTAATCCAACAACTGAACAACAGCTAGAGGAAATGAGGAATCAGTACACACGAACCTGAAAAACCGGACATTTCTGCCTGACCACAGTTGCTAGCTATTGTATAAGTTTCAGTAAATAACACCAGTTTACATCACATACATTCCAACCTGGATTCATAAATTCTTGATAAATATCACTACCTGGGATCGGGTGTTACCAAAACTAGTGCAAGATTTTTCCTTACTGTTTAGGAAAAACTGTAAATGACAAGGCGTCATCAAAGGGGAAGATATTTTATGTAGTGGTAACATGTGCAGTCTCCAGGAGTATGGGTGTTAGGGAATAGCCAGGGTTAGAGCAGAGGGAAGATGATTCACTCTACTCCATCCTCTGCATGCTCCTTTCCAAAGGTTAGTGAGCTTCTACTGTCCCTTCCTGACATATGAGTGAAACCTAGAAAGTAGTTATTCCCCTGCGGTCATGGGATTGATAAAAACATGTATATTCAAAAAGGGGACCAAAAATGCCACCTCTGCCCACTGGAGCCACACATTTGTGTTCAGGAGCCCTCTGCTCATGCAGTCTGATGCAGTGAGGTCATCTAATGTCAAGGTAGCATGTGTCCTTCATAGTCATCCAGAACAGGCAGTGGGACATAACTTGGCCAAGAGATTGTGGAGGCAGAAGGAGGGGCTATGACAAATGGAAATGAATAGCTGAGACTGAAAAGAGAAATAGATAACTGGAAAGAACCAGGTGGCTCAGCGGTATTTTCCAGTTTGAGGCCTTTACCTATAATGGCCATAAATAATAAAGAGCTTCTTCATTTTGTTTGAAAGGGAGTTGGAAAATGGTTTCAGACCTAAGTCAGAGCAATATTCGTTCTCCACTGAGTCACCACTGTTGCTGCCTACTAGTCATGTGATTTCTTCTTAGAGTTGTCATTCTGAATGTACCCACACTGATGAAGTTTCTCTAACAGATCAGGTGCACTTGATAGCCTAAAAGACAGCATAATACCCAATTAAAAAAAAATCCTAAAGATCTGTTCAGGCTCCACTGTGCATCAAACTTGGTAACAGGCTGTCTCACAAACACACACAAGGTAGCCATCGCGTTTGAGATTCTTCGTGGGCTGCTGTGCTTTCAGACTGACCTCACAGCAGTATTATTACGAAAATACTCACTTGCTCCCATGAAATGATTGTGTGGCGTTCAGCTGGCTCCTTTTCCACAAATGACACCTCAGCAACTCCTGGAGAAGTTTCTAAAAGGAAAAGAGGAGCATGTTTGCAGCTGGCATGGGTGACACCAGCACTGTGAGCCAGACAATTTTGCAAGTTAACCTGACTGACAGCTGGGGAAAAGGCATTAATGACTGCAACCATTGTGCTGGTGACTGAGCTGTCGTTTTCTTTTGTCTGCAACTGTACTTAGCCTGTCTTGGCATGAGGATGCCTAGTGCTGCCCAAGATGCTATCCTTTGATGGTTTTTATAGATACATATACACACACATACACATTTTGTATTCAAGGTGTGATCTTTTGCAGAGGATTCATAGAAAAACCAGCCACGGGTTCCCAGGCAAGCTCTAAAAGAGAGATGAATCTTTCTTCATAAGCATGCCCCATGGTTTCAGTTGGGCAGGATATTCTCAGCTTGACACATGATGTTGTGCAGTGTTGCTGTGAATTGCTAACAACCATATTCCACAAAGACGGGCACACTTCAGTGCTGGATTCAGTGGCTTTGAGCAGATGCAGAATCTGATCCTACCAAAGGGATTTGTGCAAACAAACACCAGTTCTCTGGAATCCTAGCTGGACACATGCAAATTTGTTATAAGCACTGAGCTCACAATATACAAAAATCATCTGAACGTTTTATGGGAAAGAATGCTATATAAATGCAACATACTAATCTACATGGTGTTATCCTTGCAGGTGTGTGATGGCAGAACAGTCTCCCTGGCACTTTTTATTTTACAATGCTTTACTTCATCTACTGCCAACTGAAATAGTTCCCACTGACTTCATTCACTTTGGATCAGGTCCAGAAAGACTACTAACTTGTTGTTGTGGGAACTGAAAGCCCAGCACACAGGGCCATGGAGTAGAAATGCTCACTATGCAGGGCTTTCAAGACCAGCTCTGCTGTGAAAGCACTGGCTCCCAAAGCAGTCACACACAGTATAATTGCTTTCTGGTAAAACATACACAGTCCACTAGACAGGAACGGAAGGCACTAGAGAGCTTTGGTCTGGTTTTTCTCGCCAGCGCTGGTCTTCGAAATCTAGTAGCGTTGTCCTTGTCTGCTCTGCTGGTGGAAGTGTAGCACTTAGTTTCACAAGTCTAAACTTCACCTGAACTGGAGGTATTGATTGGTACATCATTGGATAATTTAAAAGACAAAACGTAGCACCAGAAAAACAAACTCCAAGTTAAAGACAGAAAACAATAAAAAAATAAAATCATAGTAGGTCACCTAGGTAATCTGTCTGGCCAAGGGCTCGGGGGGAGACAACACACAGAAGACTGATGTTTCCCCAAGTTTCACTTCAAATAAGTAGGTGCAAGGCAGCGTGATCTGTCTCTTCTTCAAACATAAGCCGGTCATACATATTCTGCTTCTAAAGAAGTGTGTAGAATCAATGATATAACCAGTCTTTTTCCATCTAAGCTATGGAAACCTCATGACATGTTAATAGTTTATAATAACACAGTAATTGTTATTTCTGTGATCAAAGAAAACAGTAGGGATGTTTAATTCATCATGCACAATGGCTCGGCTGGGATGAGCGAAGATTAAATATCATATCAGTCACAGGAGATGTCTAAGAACGAGAGAACTGCAACTTCTAAAGAGGTCTGAACCAAAATCAAGACCAAAAGAAAGAGAAACTCCATCTTAAAAGACTGAATGTTACATTAAAAATATCCTGTGGGTAAACTGAAGACCACATTCAACAGAAGTGTGTAGGTATGGGCCGGAGCTTCCTTAAACATTAATGAAGAAGTCTGCCACGGGTTGCTTTTTCCTCCAGATGGAAGAAATAAAGAAGCCACCTAGGTTAGACAAAAGATACAGGACAAAGCCTAACTGGTTCAGGTGATGCCTTCCTATTAACCACTGTGAATCAAGATCACAATAAACACTGTGCTATTTTTAGGACTTTCCATCCAGAAGCTTTCAAAAATGCTTTGCAGTACTAGTCAGAAAGAGTCAATGTAATCGAGTGATACAAAGCTGAAGCAGGAAATCACAACATTCTCAGTCCTTATGGTACTGCCAGTACTGCCTATAAGTTGGATAAACTCTCAGCATTTTTTTGAAAATGTCTCAATAACTGCATTCTTATCTAATAATGCAAACAGTATGGTCCTGCTCTGGGCAGTCTGGAACAGCTAACATCTCCCATTCACATTTAGTTGTGAGCAATCAATCTTTCTGCAATTTGTTATTAGTCATAGAACTTCAGCAAAATGAATCAGACTGGCAATGGGAAATATGTCTCTCATTTTCCTCAAATTATAACCTCCATAATGCTTGTGAGAAGTCTCTCACCTTGCAGGAACTTCCACAAAGACTAAAAGTTAAAAAAACCCAAAACAACCCCCTCATCCCCAGCCTCATATATAGAATTTCTTTAAAGGAGGGTTTTTGAAATGGTGCCACGAACATTTGTTCACAAAGGTATCGGAAAATTGGGCCTCCAACTCCCATGTACTGTACGTGAAAAATTTTCTTGCTTAAAAGGAGTGTGTTGAGTTTCATTTCACGATCATTTCTATCTCCTGAAAAAAAATGTTTCACAAACTCAACAGAGTTAAAAGCCTATTACTGTTTTTTTTGTTATGGTAAGCAGAAAAGTATCTACCAGCTTCATGAGACTTCCCAAAACAAGATTTAAAATAAGTTAGTTTCTAGTGCTGCAAACTACTGAGTAAGGCATCTTTCTGAATGAGATACCCTTTGTTATTTGAAAGAAACAAACACTGAACAGATTGGTAATGTTTCCCAATTAGTTCAGCAATTCTAATTAATATAGTGGCACAACTTAGATGCTTTGGACTACTTCACTTGGAAAATATGCAGAAAATTCTCAGGAGTGGAGAGACAGAGAAAAGAACCAGAGTGAAACATCACTGCAATAGACTGGGGTGCGCATTGCTACACTGCACAGTAGTAAATAATCAGAGATACAGACAGAAAAAAAACCCAAACACAAATCAGGTAACACCTTTCATGTGAAAAGGATGCTATGGGACTTTCAGAGCCAAACCTGCATTGCCATGTCTCGCTGATGTAAATAACACACACACTCAAAACAATTTAGATGGCAACATTGCTTTTGCACATAGTCATCCTACAGATCTCATACATCTGAGCCTGGGCAGTGAAAATGTGGGCAGGGCTACTCATTTTTTAAAAAGAGCTACTTCAAAGAAGCATTTGCCATGATAGCTGATCATCAGTAGTTCCACCTTTGTAATGCTCTCAGAGTAGAATGATAATGTTATCCTGACCTCACAGCTAGAAAACAAAAAAAACCCAAAAAACCCCACAGAAAGTCCAATAATAAGTCATTAAGAGAATGCTGAACAGAGCTGGGGGATGAAATCCTGTCCTCAATGAAGCCCACAGCAAGGATTTTGCCCTGATCTTTTAATCTTGTCTGTCTGAGCAGCTACCTGAAAACACGTGCGACTAGCGATACACTTAGTTTACCAGACGAAGCTCACCGTCCTGCAGTGCAGCGGCTGGGGGAGGTAATTACAGCAGACACTTCTGGCTTTAAAATTCATAGGATGAAGTTCTGGAACTGCAATTTGTAATATTGTACGCAAGGCTTGGGATAGATATATCGCCTTCCAGCCATACAAACGTGACAGTTCTGTACTCCAAGCTGCTGACAGATGAAAGGTCTGATGCTAAAACCCCTTACGCCTGCACATATTCTCACCAATTCTTACGATTCTACTGCCACGAGTAAAATTTTGTCTGAGAAGCCTTACTTTCAGATACTGGCTGCCTCGTACTCCTGCTGGACTTCAAAGAGAACTGCAGGGATGCAAGAAGGCTCAAGATCTGAGCAGAAAACACAGATAGCAAGCAGGGCATGTTGTGGAAAAAGCCCCACTGTATGGGAATAAACTGCAGGGTAACTATTTCTGGGGGGCTGATCCTGAGCAGATACACAGATTAGCCTTCTGCCAGACCAGCGCAGCACACTGGGCACGCTACCTGCTGACCCTACATAACAACAAAGACTAAAAATTACACACGATTTTGAACAAAACACCATTTTCTCTTTTCTTTGGCTTTTTTTTTCTCCGAAGTCGAGAGACTCAGGACTTCTGCCGCTGATTCAAACGTCAGAAACCGGGCTTTTGTGTCTGTCCGTGCGTATGATAAGCAGCGCAGCCATGCGACGCCGGGGCAGGGGCCTTACCAGGACCGGCAGACACAGTGCGACCGGGGCTCAGACAGCAGCACAGCGGCTCC